TTTCGCTAACTCGTCAATCAGTGCCGTGAATCTTTCCCACGATGCGCTCAGGTTAGAGACCGTAAACTGCTGCTGCTCGTAATTGGATGACTTTCTCCCGCTGAGGTTGTTCACGTAGAATCAAGAGATCCTCGAGACTAGCCTATGATACCAGCGAGGTTCATAAACGATGACCGCTCATTTATGTGTCAAGCAAACAGGAGAATAAGCGCTGTACTGGCTACCTAGCTGTATTTATAGCCATTAGAAAAGGAGGAAAAGTGACTCATGAATGACAGCACAACCACGACAACAAGTTCTGCATCAAAAGCTTCATGAATGAAACTACCCACACATGGTACTAAACCATGAAAGCAAAAGAAAGAATCATAACCCAACAATTATTAACTGTTCTTTTTCTTTGGTAAGTCACAAACGGGAAGACCACGCATAAAATGTTCTTTGATTAGAGACATCTGACGTTTCGGACCAGACTCGGTCCGTCTTCAGAGAATAGAACACATGTACTCTGTACTCTGAAGACGGACCGAGTTTGGCGCGAAACGTCAAATATCTCTAATTAAAGAACATTTTATGCGTGGTTTTCCCGTTTGTGACTTACGAAAGGATATATTATCTGCTGCATAAAGAAATCATGTAGGATTTTCAATATTCTTTCCTACTCTATTTCACCTTTCGATTTCTGGGATAAACATTGCCTCTCTGTCAGTTGAAGGATGCAGTGGCAGACCCGCATTCCAAAGGCTGCAAATTTTTCTCTGCTTTTCGCCCGAAGCTTAAGATATGCATTCCTTTGTGTCAATCAGCAGAATAGTTTTCACTTATATCGCATTCTGTATTTAATCGGGTTACCAGATTGCGTCTGCACCGTCTCCACTTGCTTTTAGATGTATATGGAACCAGGCCATAACTGAAGGAAATTGAAGTACCAGCTTCGCATGTACGCAATGCTGCATGTTTGGGCCGGACCAAAAAAGGTGCCTTTAAACACCGACCGAAATGTCACAATTCGTAGCCATTTATTGACACAATGATTAACTCAAATATTTTGGAAGGACTGCAAACAGTGGAGGTATTAACTGGAGGTAATGCGGTAGAATAGGGACTCGCTGAGATCTGCCCAAACGGTCCTTTCAACATCAAAAAGCAACGATACACTGAATGAAATAATCTGATTAGGTGAGAGGATGTTTTTTGGCCGTATCAAAAACTGCCATTGTTGCCAGACGCCCCTGTGTTTGATTAGCTGCACTTTTCACACACCTAACCTTTCTTCACCTCTCTGTGTTGATCAAATATACGACAAGAACAACTGAAAAGCAGGTGGTTAATGATTTACGAAAATAATTTCAATTCTGTTTCTTTTTTTGGGCTTCTTCTACTACATGCCAAAACTTTACTGTTCTACTTTCCTTTATCCAAGAAATCCGGCCCAATAGGACTGTCTAAGCAACTTCTGAAAAGAAGTTCAACTCTGTGTCGTCTTCTTCAATAAATCATTCCTTCAGTGCTTCTACACAGACGATGCAGACGAATGACAGTCCTTATTATTGTTTGCTCTGATGATGGCGAATGTTAGTTTGGTTGAAACGTCGGCAGTTGCAATGAAGACCAGAGTCCGTTTGGGGACTGTTTTCAGACCACCGTTTCCTTGTGTCTAAAACTTTGTCCTTGTGTCCAATGAAGTGCCGGTTTATAGAAGATGTTTCAATTTTTATGATTAATGAAATTAATACCAGATGAGTTTCATTCCAGTCAGTGGAAGTTTCTGCGCTCCTTGTTCTAGCTTCAAGCTAAAAGTCATTATTTCAGAGGAAGACGACAGCGAAGAGGACGAGGAGGAAGGTATGGAAGGGTAGTAATACTGCTGTCATGAGTCTAATCTATATGCCTAGGCATTGCAACTGCACCGTCCGATTTTCGCCTTATAGACGTCAAACCGTATGCCGTGAAGCTGACATGGACTCCTGAAGGGCCATTGCCACAAGACGGATATTTCGTTTTGAGGTTTCATAAAATATGGTAAAATGATTACATGTTAATTAAAAAGTATTATTTCATAATGTGGTTTCTATTAGTAACATGCTAATTTTGGCTTCATCTTGGGCTTTTGTCTTTAGTCATGAGATGACGGACAACATAATTACGGTTGTCACGAGAGGAACGGAGTATGAAATCACGGGATTGGACTCGTGTACAATTTATGCAGTGAAATTAACCGCGTCAGATGGCAAGGAAGAGACGGAAGCGTCCAGTCTGATTGTGCTTACAGGTAAGACTTACAAATTATTGTGCTAATTGTAGTTTATTAAACAGTTTTGGGGAAATTGCTCCCCAGGAGGATTGCTAACTTCCGCAATCGACTCTGTTGCTGTACAATCCGGTGTCGCTTTGCGAAATACCTCTCCTTTGGACCTACTATTCGAAAGCTGTAGAAACAAGACTGAGGCAAAGAGATGAGGTAGTGATGAGGGGGATCTGTCATTGTATCGATGAAACAGAGGACTACAACTGAGGAGAAGCAGAAGGAATCATAATTTGGAAGGTGAATAGTAATTCAGAATCACACTTGAATCGCTTTGTAAATATTGGGTGGAATTTCAACGAGCAGCGGCGGAATTACCAAAGTCATTATTGCTACGCGTACGAAATGCAACTGGCTTAAGAAGTATGCACATTATTGTCCAAATCAGGTTAACGGTCTTCGATTCACCATCCATCAGATTACCCCAATGATGACATTGGAATGCGACACCGAAAGAAACTGGTTGGTAAATAAGGCAGTTTATTCATCTTCTTCCTCATCATCTTCCATGGCCGCTTCTCCTTACAGGCCATGGGGATAGACGCGCTAGACAGAGCTTCCAACGTTCCCAATCCGGTGCCAGAGTCTGAGCTTCGGCAAAAGACAACTGCAGTCTGGAACAGACTCCTTCCATATGTTTGCACCAGGTTAATCTTGGCCGTCCCCTGGCGCGCCCCTTTGCCGGTCGGTCGGTTGGACAAGAACCCACAGCTGATTAGCCTTCCTTCCTGGAGGCATTCGCAACACATGCCCAATAAAGCAATTTAACATTTTATTTTCAACTGTTAACCTAAACCATAGATTGGGAAGCGATTATCACGAATTGCTATTCAAGGAGTGAAAGAATCGATAACCTCTTTCGTACTCTTACACAAATGAGGGCCAGTAGCTTTTCCTCCTTTCGATATCGATTACTGCTCTGTGGGAAGAAAATAGGATACTACATATTATGCTTGCAACATAGCTGCTGTCGCGCTGTGCCTCTGAAAAATGGCAGTACTTCTGGAAGATGGCAACAATGGAGACTAACGCCGCATCATTAACTTCGTGAAAAGAAGGGCGTTTGAAATGACCCCGTAATGAAAGTGTAAGGAATGCCTATACTTCAACGGTCAGAGAGTTTTCTTTTTAAAATAGAGTTCTACTCAACATGTCAAGGCCATTCTATTGCTTAATCTCAACTGCTACGAAACGTAGTGATCGTGTCCTGTGGGTGGTTAGAATTAGCTGCACCATAACGGAGATCATGGATGCTTCGTGACGTTTGACAATGAACGTCATTTCTTGATTCGCCAAACGATTCTTGTTCAGCGTTTCCGGGAATCTTTACAGTCTGATATCATCATCGATGCTGCTCCGCAGTTGTGCCTACTGTCCACGTTTCCAGGTGTGTTGCCAAGCGTTAGACTGTAAGTTATATCTCCATGAGGCCCGATCAGTTTTAAGCCTTCTACAATGAGCTTGGGCACAACAACCGTTTCTTGAGGGGGTCTTTCCGTACCACATGTGAAGAAAGCCTGCATATAACAGAAAAAAATTTGAATTTTAATATATGCTGCACATTTTACTCCTACCTACACGTAGACTTGATTTTGATGGAAGGCGAAAAATTTCGATAACTCCTCTGCACATCTTCAAGGCAACCAACCAAAGACGTACAAAACTGACCGCTGCATAGCAAAGATCAAATCGAATGATTCTGTCTTCTGTTAGCTTACCATACTCGGAGGACAATTTGCATGATATAGTCGATATATAATGTATCCAATTTATTAGATTAACGTTTAGTGCAGATCAGCTGCTAAATCTCTCAGATTCTGCGACTTGGACAAAATCATCTTCTTTAGAGTATAAACAGTACAATAATGCAACATGTATGAGATGAAATATCGATTGCTGCAACGGGCCATAATTCATGGCTACTGTTCATATTAAGATGACCTTACGTAATGTTTCTGTTTTTGGTCAGAATGTCAATCCCATGGATAAGTCCGCTTTGAACTTCCGATATCAATCCCTTCTGAGCTTAGGATATGCTTTCACCGCAATAGTGCTAACCTGGGAAGGTGTATTTCTACTGTACTAGTCTTTTCGTACAATTTCATATTTAAATCTTTGGCCGGCGACCACCACGGGAATGATCAGGTCCGATTTTGGATGGCATAAAAATTACAGTGTGCAATATAAATTGAAAACAATCAGGACAGGGTGGCATTTGACTAATGGTAAAGAAAACATTAGGTACTCAATCGTCGTTTAGGTAAAAAAGAGGATTACAACTTTAAGTGGAGCATTGAAACGATTACCGCATTTCAGTATCGAACAGGATTCAGATTTATGGGGTTGTTGAATTTTATTCTTCGGCCGTATGTTCATGGTCATCAGATGCTAATTTTCCGTACAAACACACATCGGTCACATCGATTTCTTTTCATCGATCCAAGACCAAGACAAAACTAGACAATTAAAACAGCTTTTAAGTTCCTGTTAGGAACATGAAATTAACGTCACGAACGGTATACGGTGGAGGACGAATCCCGCCGAGACCGAGGAATTAGACGTCCTCTAAATTATCGTGAACTTCAACGTTACCAGCCATGCGTGTTGCAATACGGTGACATGTCAAACAACAACAAAAAGAGTCTATACCGTTTCTTGTTAAATCGATTACGTCATACGGTCTGGAAAATTGCAGTAATTTAAAACGCGCGACCAAATCGAACCTATAGAAACCTTGGCCATTATTTCGAAGAGATGATAGAAACTGAAAGGCTCCGAATCATTGAAGTAATTAAGTATTCACCTTGACGGCTGTCATTATGATTGAATTTTGTAGAGCACATCTACCAGAACTAGGTTTTAGTAATTAATTAATCAGGGACCTCTTGGGGAGAGAGACCCTGTTTAAAATGACTTTGTGATTTTGCACTCCTGTGTCGACGCATTAAAGCAATTGCAAAATTTTGAGGATTAAGAAGCGGTTTCATTGTTTAGATCATTCTTCAGACTGTTTACGACAGTTCTGTCTCCTGCACTGAATGGACATTGCAACGTATACCTATCGTATTCACAATCATTTAACATCTACTTCTACTAGGGCTTCAATACATGAAAAAACCTCATTATCTTGAAAACAGGAATTGGCACAAAATTCTTAGTATCCCGCATGAATCGTCCCACCAAAAAGTGTGGTTTTTTTCTTCCATCCATACTACTGCTGTTTAGTTCAGTCAGTCAGTTTCGACTATCTGTCCGGGTTGCGGAGGCAGTCACGTCAGACAGTATTTGAAACATTCCTGATCCTGAAAAAGTGTTTCAGCGTTGGTAGAAGATTACCTGAGTTTGATTTCGAGTGTATCAAGACACTTGCCCCATAACTATTCTTGGCTGTTCCTGGGTCTTCTATCTATCAGCTGGGAAAGTAGTAGCTGCTTCGCCTTACTTTCTGGAGGCATTCGCAACACATGCCCAAACCACCGCAGCTGTGACTTCTCAATCTGGAGAAGCAAAGGCTGTAT